AGCTGGTGCAGGATCTCTCCACGGCTCTTGTGGAGGGAACCAGGCACCTTTGAGGATCGTTCCTCTCCTCCTTTAGCGAGGGGTAGGAGGAGGCAGTGACGATCTGAGTGGTTTCTCTTTTTAAAATTAATATCATGAATGGGTCAAGTAGAAAGCAAATGATGTCACTGGTGGCACAGGATTTTTTTTAAATAAGTGAATATTGCAGTATGTGTGCATAGTTTTATTCTAATACACGCAACCAAGCGTGTTCATCAAACTTTGTTTTTCTTTTTTTTCTGAATTCAACTGCCAACTATACTTCACCAGAAACTTAAACAATAAAGAGCATCCAATGACAGAAAATACTAGAGTTAGTGTTTCTTAATGACTGAAGATACTCGTAGCTACTGAAGAATAAAACAAGGATGGTTGAAATCTTTCAGCCACATTAAAACTTACAGAAGCCGCTCCCTAGAGTAAACAATTAATGAAAACAGTCTAACATGATGTAGGCAGAGAAACAGATGACAGGATTGCATCAAACGATGTTTGTGTTATTACCCGTTAGGATATATATATATATATATATATATATATATATATATATATATATATATATATATATATATATATACATACATACGCAAGCACGTGTTCAGTATTTTGTTTTATCATAAAGTAAAATAGGCTAGGTCCAGCGTGCCAAGATCTTAGTACATATATAATTAAAAAGATAGATAGATAGAGAGGGAGGGAGGGAGAAACAGAGAGAGTGGCCAGGTGAAATAATGAATGGCAGACATGATTTCAGTTGTTCATTTGCTTCCGAGTGAGCATCTGTGTTGTACAAACGAATTGTGTCCCTTCGCTACGTTATTCTCCCTTTTCATCGTAGACATTTTCTTTTGAAAAGAATCGTATATACAGTATGCGACCGCGCTATGAAACTGTTATTGGAGGTGACATTTACATGTAATGCCCTAACATGAGCTATAGTCTGTTCGCTGTTGTAAGCAGAACTTCCATATGTGTCTGCACATAATTATTAGCAATTCTAAAAAGACAAAGCAATTTGTCTGACAAAGTGAGATAGACGGTCTGTCATTTTTCGACATCTTTCCCACAAGATCATACTTTTAGGGATCATTTCTAAAGGTTGACTTTCCGCACCAAGATGAAGGCGAAAGGAGACTTGCAAGAGTACAAGGTGATTGGCAGGGGTCTGCCAACAGAAAAGAATCGAACCCCAGCCTTGTACCAGATGAGAATTTTTGCACCTGACAAGGCTGTTGCTAAGAGTCGGTTCTGGTATTTCCTCAGTCAGCTGAGGAAGCTGAAGAAGGCTACTGGTGAGATAGTCAGCTGCAGCAGGGTGTTTGACAAGAAGCCACTGAAAATCAAGAACTTTGGCATCTGGCTGCGCTACAACTCTCGCAGCGGCACACACAACATGTACCGCGAGTACAGAGACCTGACTGCTGGCACTGCTGTCACACAGTGCTATCGTGACATGGGAGCCAGACACAGAGCTAGGGCCCACTCCATTCACATCATCCGTGTCGAGGAGATTGCCGCCAGCAAGTGCAGGAGACCCAACACTTTGCAGTTCCATGATGCAAAGATCAAGTTTCCCTTGACCCACAGAGTTCACAGAAAACTGCACGCTCCTCGCTTCGCAGCCAGTCGGCCACACACAACTTTCTAAGTTCCAATCTGTGAATCTGAATTAAACTCCAGTTTGATCTTGTGAAAAAAAAAAAAAAAAAAAAAAAAAAAAAAAAAAAAAAAAAAAAAAAAAAAAAAAAAAAAAAAAAAAAAAAGACTTGCCGAGACGTCGAATAAACGTGAGCGGCACAAAAACCACGATGACGAGATCGAGCCACTGCCTCTGAGCGTGAAGCTGGTGCAGGATCTCTCCACGGCTCTTGTGGAGGGAACCAGGCACCTTTGAGGATCGTTCCTCTCCTCCTTTAGCGAGGGGTAGGAGGAGGCAGTGACGATCTGAGTGGTTTCTCTTTTTAAAATTAATATCATGAATGGGTCAAGTAGAAAGCAAATGATGTCACTGGTGGCACAGGATTTTTTTTAAATAAGTGAATATTGCAGTATGTGTGCATAGTTTTATTCTAATACACGCAACCAAGCGTGTTCATCAAACTTTGTTTTCTTTTTTTTTCTGAATTCAACTGCCAACTATACTTCACCAGAAACTTAAACAATAAAGAGCATCCAATGACAGAAAATACTAGAGTTAGTGTTTCTTAATGACTGAAGATACTCGTAGCTACTGAAGAATAAAACAAGGATGGTTGAAATCTTTCAGCCACATTAAAACTTACAGAAGCCGCTCCCTAGAGTAAACAATTAATGAAAACAGTCTAACATGATGTAGGCAGAGAAACAGATTTTTTTTTTTTTTTTTTTTTTTTTTTTTTTTTTTTTTTTTTTAAGTGTTTATTGTTTCAAAATATATATTTGTACAAAAAGAAAATAAATAAAATGATGTGAGTAAAATGATGATGGTTTGTACCGTTTCTCACTGACATTTAAAAAGAGAGTAGAGATAGAGGGAGGCAGAGAGGACCTGGCGGTTTGAGGAGAGCTGGGGCTGTTGGGTATGTCAGCGGAAACGGTACATTTCGATGATAATGTTTGCATGTTATAAAATGTATATACAATAATCAAGTGAGTAATAAAGGGGAAAGAAAGAAAGAAAGAAAGAGAAGAAAAAGAAAGGAAAAAGGAAAGAAAGAAAGAAAGAAAGAAAGAAAGAAAGAAAGAAAAAAAAAAAAAAAAGGAAAGAAAGAAAGAGAGAAAGAAAGAAAAAAAGAAAGAAATAAAGGTAAGGGAGACAAATGAGGAAATAGAAAGGATTACTCATTGAAACATATTTGTACAAAAATCTTTACAAAATCAAAAACAATAAGGTGATATGAATAAAATGATGATGAATTTGTACCGTTTCTCACTGACTTTAAATAGTGAATAGAGACAGGAGGAGGCAGAGAGGACCGGGCATTCGGAGGAAAGCTGGGGCTGTTGGGTCTGTCAGCGGAAACGGTACATTTCGATGGTAATGTTTGCATTTTATAAAATATATATATTTATATACACCACAGAAGACAGAGGGGAAACGAAAACATAGAGGCGGACAGGGCGAGAGAAAGAAAGGACAAGGGGGGACCACTCATTGTTTTAACATGGCATACAATTGGCATTGGGTCATTTATATATATTCAATTTCAAAAATACATGAAGGACTTTACGAACATACAAACAAAACACCAGAGAAAGACAGGGGGCACAAACACGTACAACGAAACAGGGGAAAGAAGCGCAAAGAAGGGATAGGGGGACCACTCATTATTTTAACCATCTTGTAACAAATTGGCATACAAATAGCATTGGATCAAATTTGTACATTTCATTTCAAAAATACATGAAGGACTTTACGAACATACAGACAAACACCAGAGAAAAGGAGGGGACACAAACACATAGAGCGGGACAGGGGAAAGAAGCGCAAGGAAGGGATAGGGGGACCACTCCTTATTTTAACATTGTTATAACAAAATGGCATACAATTGGCATTTGATCAATTGTGTACATTCCATTTCAAAAATACACGAAGGACTTTACGAACATACAGACAAACACCAGAGAAAAGGAGGGGAGCACAAACACATAGAGCGGGACAGGGGAGAGAAGCGCAAAGAAAGGATAGACGGGGGGGGGGGGGGGGGGGGGGGGGGGGGGGGGGGGCCACTCTTTCTTGTCAAATTCGTAACATTTTGAAAAAGTCTTGAATATTTACAGTCTCAAAGGGACATGCGAGCTAGAATCAGGAGGGAGGGGTACAAAAACGCAGCAGGCGGACAGGGGCGGGGAGTGGGGGGAGAGGAGAGAAAAGGTAGCGACAGAAGGGCCACTCTTTCTTGTATGCAATATTGTAGAATTTGTACGGGTATCAAAATTGACATCTTTCAAAATGCATCAAATATTTACATTACATTTTTACAGGCGTGTAACGTGTAAGCTAAAAGATCAGGGGGAGGAGGGGGGACAAAAACACAGGAGGCGGACGGGGGGCGGGAAATGGGGGTGAGAGACCGAGAAGGTAGGGACAGAAAGGGGCCACTCATTCTTAAATACAATCAAAGTATTACATCTTTCAAAATGCATCAAATATTTACATTACATTTTAACAAGCGTGTGAGCTGAAACACCTGGAGAAAGAGGGGGTACAAAAACACAGGAGGCGGACAGGGGCGGGAAGGGGGATGAGAGACCGAAAAGGAGAAACAGAGGGCCACTCATTTTTCCAGCAAAATTTTGGCTTTCGCTACCTCATCATTTGAACACATTTTTGCATTTATAGCGGTAATTTCCCATTTTAGTTGCATATTAAAGTATTACATTTCAGAAGAAAAAAAAAAAAAAAAAAAAAAAAAAAAAAAAAAAAAAAAAAAAAAAAAGTGCATTGCCTCAATTTGTTTGCGAGAGTGGAAAACACAGAGGGACTTTACAAACATATAGACTAGCAGCAGAAAAAGGAAAGGGGCACGACCACTTAGGCGGACAGGGGCGGGGAAGAAAAGGATGACAGTTGGGGCCACTCGTCACATTTATAGTTGCCAGCGTAGCGTGGTCTGGCAGGTAGTGAGACGGTCTGTATCCATCTTCCCTTGAAACCCCACCAGGACGTCGCACAGGCGATAAACACCCGATGACACCGAAGTGCCACCATGTGGGTGAGGATCACCCGTGGAGTGGTCCCAGAAACCGCGTTTCGCCCTAAGCCATTACGGCCGGGCTACTCTGCGGCCTCTGGCCCGAGAGCCAGAGTATGGCTCCAAATGGGAGACAAAACCCGCGGCGTTTCACGTTCAACAGTTTTAAGCAGGTCAAATAGATATTTGCATTTGGATAAAAACATGCATGGCATCAAACAATATTTACATGAGTGGGTATTACATAGAGGACTGTACAAACATGTAAACTAACATCAGAAAAAGAAAGGGGGCATAATCACGTAAGTGGACAGGGGTGGGGAAGATAAGGATGACAGTTAGAGCCACTCGTCATATTTACATTTAGGGCTCCAAAGAGACCCGAAACATTTCACATTTGACAGTTGTAAGGCATTTCAATAATTACACAACTTTTGTTGAGCCTTTGCAGGCCAGCCAAAAATACTTTAAACCATGCTGAATGTCTACACTAACTATTTAAATTGTTGTGGACACTCTTGTGTTTTCTATTTTGTGAGATTCTGATGGTTTATAAATGTGAAATTTCCCATTTTATGAGATTGTTTCCCTTTGAATTGATTAAGTCCCTTTTCCCTATTACCCATGTGCTGTAGAACACTCTTATAAATAAAGCAAAAAAAAAAAAAAAAACATAGCAGGTTAAAATATTACATCAAGGAAAAACATACACTGCATCAAAATTTTTCACAAGAGTGGCGAAACACAAAAGGGGGACTTTACAAACATATAAACTACCAGCAGAGAAAAGAAGGGGGCACGAATACGTAAGCGGACGGGGGCGGGGAAGCAAAGGATGACAGTTAGAGCCACTCGTCATATTTACATTTAGGGCTCTAAAGAGACACGCAACATTTTCGATTAACAAATGTAGGGCATTTCAATTTCATCGAGAAAAATATACATTGAAACAATTTATGTACATGAGTGGAGAACCACACGGAAGACTTTACAGACATGTGAAACGTGCATCAGAGAATAGGAGGGGACATAACAACATAAGCGGACGGGGGACGGGGGGAGAAGAGAATGAAAGTTAGGACCACTCGCTATATTTACCTTTAAACATAAAACAATCTGCAAATTGGCGAGAGATGTAACAAGTGGGACACCGTCTATATCTGCTTTTCTTCAAAGACCCTACCAGGACATAGACCAGGCGACAGCCACCCAATGACATGAGTGCCACTATGTGGGTGAGGGTCACCATTAAGGTAGTACCCGGAACCGCGTTTCGCCCTAAGCCATTACAGCCGGGCTACTCTGCTGCTCCAGAAGAAAGGACGACACAGAGTGCCACCATGAGGGGATTCCCGAAGTCCCGCTCAAAGTGAGAGGGGGAGACATGGCAGGAATGTGGGGACAGCTGGGAAGGAAAGGTGGGCGGCTCGAAGGATGAACGGAGCAAGCCCCGGACACATCTTACGTTCTCGCCATAGTTACCTATGTTTACGGTACACTTGGGAAAGACCCGGTGTACCAGTCAAAAATTCCCGACACATTCAAACTAAACATGCTTTAAAGAAAACGTATTACAGTGTCTGTTCTCAGCGACTTGTGCCGTTCCGCTTCCAGTGTATAGTGTGTGTGTAATGTGTATTGTTCGTGGAAGTGTAGGGGGTGGGTAGGGGAGGAAAGGATTTGTGGGTTTCCTCTTCGCTAATTGGCTTTCCGCCACAAACCAGTTTCTTCATATCTTGGGGATGTCCTGTGGTGTTGGGAAATGGGCATCTGTTGTGCGTTAGTACATTTGTGTTGTTGTTTCCCTTACTGTTTGTTGTTCTTTGTTTTGTGTGTGTGTATGTGTGTGCGTGTGTTTGTGTGTGTGTCGGTAAACCAGACGTCGTCTGCTGCCTCGGAAAGGGTACATTTGGGAGGGTTTAAACAATTACAAATAAAGATAAATAAGGGGGTTTGTGTAATGGGGGGAGGGGGG